CGTCACATTGAGGAGGGGAAAGGCTTGTTTTCTGCTGCTCTGGAGACCAGAACAAGGAGCAATAGATTCAAATTACATTTAAATTGCATTTAAATATTAGGAAGAATTTTCTGGTGATAACTGAAGAGCTGCTTAGTAGGCTTGGGTAACTACGGAAAAATTTGGTTCTAAACTCGTTTTGTTTTTAGGGGGTTTTTGCGTTTCGTTTTTTAAAAGAATTCCGAAATTTTTCTTTAAAAAAGTTCAAAATATACGAAATTTCGTAAAATTACGAAACAATTACAAAACAATTACGAATCAATTCGTTAATGGTGGACGCGATTGCGCAATATGCTAAAAAACCCTCCAAATGGGACAGGGGGAACTTCTGAAGCATCCCTCTCCCTCTGTTGTTGACTGTTGGTGTGATAATTTATTTTTTATCACTGATAAAACAAACAACAACCCTAAAACTTGCACCAGACATGCGGAAATAATTACGAAACAATTTCGAAACAATTACGAAACAATTACGAAACAATTACGAAATAAATTTTAAAAATTGTTTCGATTTTTAATTACTCCTGCATGGCTCAATATCGGATCGTAAGCTAATTTAAATACGAATAAATAACGAATTACGAAATTAACGAACGAAACCGCCCAAACCTACTACTTAGCACTGGATTATGCTGCCTCGGAGTGTGGTGGAGTCTTCTTTTCTGGATGTATTTAAAAAGATGCTAGATGATTATCTGTCAGGAGTGCTTTGATTTTATTTTCCTGCATGGCAGAGGGTTGGACTGAGTGGCACTTGTGATCTCTTCCAATTCTATAATTCTATATTCCACTCTATATCAGGTATCTACAGGGCAAACTACACAGTATTTTTCAATATGGAAAAAATACAACAGACAAATGTCTTCAGTTTAAAGTTATTTAGAAAAAAATATGGAATCCTAATAAAAAGGTGATTTCAAATAAACACAGCATGAGTTTTCCTTGCTCCTACTGGCTTCTGTTCCAAAACCAACTAATTGCCTGTTAATACCGGAATACTTTGGGCTTGCCTCTTAAAGAGGCCGTAATCAAGTTTGCTTGCAAAGGCAGAATAGATACTAGCATATTTGTTTAGAAGGGGAAACAACTACATAAAACTAAATCTAATCTGCACCCAAGTGCTGCTGCAAAATTGCTTCCCTTCTTCATTTTTCCTCAAAATTAATAGCTGCCATTCAGGGTCAGCTAGTAATAGTGTTGTTGTGAGGCAATTTTCAGCAGGAAAAAAATACATAATTAATTTTAAAAAGCATAATTAATTTAATTATGCTTTTTCAAAAGCATAATTAAATTAATACATTGTGCCATTTGGCCTTGGATACCTTGCAAATGTTCCTATGTGATATCAAAACAGCAATCTCTCCCTACTAATATTAATAAATGGTAGGTTGTTTCAATATACAGCAGTATATCCTGAGTTTAATGGTTACAATTTGGATTCTAATTCCTAGAATCTGCAACTGGTAGCCATCCTGTTTGTAAGATTCTGGGAATTTTACTTGTTCCAAAAGTAATGTTCCAAGCTATGCCTTAATTCTTTACAGTAATGATGTGTTAAACTCCATATTAGCATTTATAAAAGAAACACAGAGTTGCACTGATTCTACAACCTGTAGGCATGAAGGGTACCACTTTAATTAGGCATCCCAAGGCTGGTGACAGAAAGCAAGCAGTCTCCGTAGGTGAAGCAAAATCTTTATTCAAGTGTGGCCACACAGGGAGAAACAGCCAAGACCAGTGTCTTCAAAGAAGGCTGTCTCTGACATTTGGATCTTTCAGTCACCTTATATACATGTCTTTTCGCTGTGTCATAGGCACACACCTCTCTTATCGGATCAACCATTCAAAAACATGTTTTTCTCATATTTTGCCACTTCAGTGTCTCTAACTGATAACCCTCTACAAACTACGTAAACACACACATTATTGTTACAGATAAGCATTTTGGGTGTTAACCCACCCTGGGTACTCCCTGGGCGTACTTGACAATAGAGCATCTTGTGTCTTCCGATACATTATGCCTCTTGGCTTTTGGTCTTCTGCAGGCCAGAGTAGAGGGACAAACCTCTCTTTAGGTTTGCATTTCAGCATTTCAACATTTCTAAGTTCTGTTAACCCTTTTAGGCAGAAAGCAATTTCCTATTGGTATTAGGAAGTGATCCCTTGTCTTTATAGCTGAAATCACAATTCAAGCCTCATCTTTCAACCAATTTATCTTGATTTGATTTTGGCAACTAATTAGTTGGGAATCTGTTTCTCTATCACAACGAAACACTGGGAGTTAAATTTAGCCATGACTAATCCCTTCCATTGGTTTCTACTGGATTTATCCACAGCTAATTTTAGTGAGATTAGGGCCTTCCGAGATGCATGAAAAGGGTGATGTGGGAATTAAGACGTAAAAATAGAAAAGAAAAGTCTATTTCATCATTAAAATTAGGTTTTTAACACTCTTAACAGACTTACTCAACACAAATGTTCCTGCACAACTTCCTCTTTACGCATTAATTTTGCACAAGGGCCAGTCACAGTTAAACACTTTAAAGTCTTGATTATTCAAAAGATTCATGTATAAATCTTAAAGATTTAGTACAAAGAAAACGTCCTATGTCAATTTATCTGTACCTTAACTCTTGTCAAAACAATGAACAATCCCTTTTCTGAGAAGAGTGGTGAAAGGCAAGAGCTTAGTCTTAGTTTCAGGAAAACCTGAAAGAAGCAACAATCCACACTATTCTCTCTACTGTGTTGCTGCTTCTGGGCTATTTATTTATTTATTTATTATTCAAACTTATATGTCGCCACTCCCTTAGGGCTCGGTGCAGCTTACAAGAATGGCTAAAATCTAACACAATTTAAAAACAATTTAAAACCAGCAATATCAAAAATCAAAGTCTTGTCAAAACAGGTATGTCTTACAAGCCCTGTGGAAAGCGGATAAGTCCCGCAGGGCACGGACTTCAGGTGGCAGAGTATTCCAGAGTGATGCTGGAAGGCTCTGCGTTTGGTTGCTGTTAGACACAAGGTCTTGACACTGGGAATTTCCAATAGATCTTGGTCCTCAGAACGGAGGGATCTCTGGGGTTGGTAGGGGGTGAGGCGGTCCCTCAGGTACATCGGCTCCGGACCATGCAAGGCCTTAAAGGTGAGTACCATCACTTTGAAAGTGATCCACTGCTCAATTGGTAACCAATGCAGCTGCAGTAAGATTGGTGTTATGTGGCATCTCATTGGAATTCCCGCAAGAAGCCGAGCAGCTGCATTTTGTACCAACTTGAGCTTCCGGATCACCGACAGAGGAAGGCCAATGTAGAGGGTGTTACAGTAGTCCAGTCTTGCGATGACCGTAGCCTGGATCACTGTAGCTAGGTCGTCCCTGGACAGGTAGGGGGCCAGCTGTCTAGCCTGCCGCAGATGAAAAAAACGTGGTTCTACTAACGGCGGAGACCTGGGCCTCCATCGTCTGCAGAGGGTCCAAAAGGACTCCCAGACTCTTTACTAATGATGATGGGCATAGCGCCTTGCCATCCAGGGTAGGCAGCTGGATATCCCCACTGCCCAGTTGACCCAGCAACAGGATCTCCATCTTTGCTGGATTCACCCTCAACCTGCTGGCACGCAGCCATCCAGTAATGGCCTCGAGGCCCTGATAGAAATAATCGGGTACAGAGTCCGGTCGGCCTTCCATCTTCAACACCAGCTGAGTGTCATCAGCGTACAGATAACACTCAAGCCCAAAACCTCGAACCAGCTGAGCAAGTGGTTGCATATAGATGTTAAACAACAGAGGGGAGAGAATGGCCCCCTGAGGAACCCCACAAGATAGAGGGGACCTCTCAGAGACCAGGCCTCCCCTCTCCACTCGCTGTCCACAGTTGTGAAGAAAGGAGGACAGCCAATTTAAAGCTGTCCTCCTGACTCCAACAGCAGCAAGGCGGTGGGTCAAAAGATTGTGGTCGACTGTGTCAAATGCTGCTGTGAGATCCAATAACACAATATCTAGATAAATTGTGGTTTGCTTCTCTAAAGTGGCATTGGTACTTTAAATATCTAGACAGAGAAATTGTGGTTTGCTTCTCCAAAGTGGCATTGGTACTTTCTTCTCTCTATGAAATGTCCCCCAACATATTCATAACTCATATCAAAATCCATAATTTTGACCCACAAGCCTGCCCTCAACTTATACACGAGGTCAATTTATACATGCATCAATAAGCAACGGAATACTTATTGGATTTTGATTAAAATCAATGAAATTAAAAACTGAAATAGAAAAATATATTCACTTTTAACAAATTTTACAAAAAAATGAATACTGTACAGTACATTGAATTCATAGTTAGTAAAACTATTATCAAAAGTCACTGCTTTTGTATTTCTACAGGAATTTTTTTTCAAGCGCTGTGAATGTTACGTTGTATTTCTTTTCTTTTTTTGAATTACACATAAATCAGCTTTCAGGACTGCACATGCATATTTTGCAGAAAATACATGTGTAGTTGTAGGTTTTTTCGGGCTATATGGCCTCTAGAACATGGCCATATAGCCCGAAAAAACCTACAACAACCCAGTGATTCTGGCCATGAAAGCCTTCAACAATACAGAATATGTGTAGATGCACTAAAATCAATATTAGAAGCACACAAATGTTAAGAAAAGTATGCAAATATACATTATTAGGAAACGGGACTGACTATGCCACAATTTTCACACAAAATATAAAATCATGTGTCACAGTATGAAATTTAAATGACATGAAATTGCTGAAAGGAATTGAAGAAATGAACATGTGACAGACAGATTTTCACCTCCCAGTTAAATGTAGATCATTGTTATCATAAGCATTGGCATCCCATTCCTTAGTCAAAAGGTTTTGTACAGCTAAAATTCACCCAATAAAATCTGCATTCTTCATGTTACATTTGATAATGAATGCCTATTTCATATGGGACGGTACTTACTTGGAAGCAATTCCATTTTTGCCATCTCTGAACATGTTGCACAGCCAGCAGATGCTGGGACTCATCATCCTGGATACAGTGGAAAGAAGATAAATGTAAGCATTTGATACCTGTGTGTTGTTAAAGTCTTGAAAGACTCAGGGTGTATCCTGATGGAAGACTCTTGTCACTAACAGTCATAATGTATTAGACTACTTATTCAGTCTTTTCCTCTTTAATGGGTTTGTGTGTGTGTGTGTGGTTAGGGAAAAAAGTAGAAGATATCATTATTTGGACTTTGATATCATGAACGTGTCAGAGCACAATAAAGGCCTTGTCTGGAAGCCCATTATGGAAAGAAGGGCTCAAACAAGGTCAAATTTGCATTTCCTAATTTATGTGTATAGAGATAAACTAGGCTACTTCCACACAGCCATACAATTCAGAATATCAAGGCAGATAATTCACAATATCTGTTTTGAAGTGGGTTATCTGAGTCCACATTGCCATATAATCCAGTTCAACGTGTATTTTATACTGCTGTGTGGAATAGGTCGAATCATAGAATCATAGAATCAAAGAGTTGGAAGAGACCACCTGGGCCATCCAGTCCAACCCCATTCTGCCAAGAAGCAGGAATATTGCATTCAAATCACCCCTGACAGATGGCCATCCAGCCTCTGTTTAAAAGCTTCCAAAGAAGGAGCCTCCACCACACTCCGGGGCAGAGAGTTCCACTGCTGAACGGCTCTCACAGTCAGGAAGTTGTTCCTCATGTTCAGATGGAATCTCCTCTCTTGTAGTTTGAAGCCATTGTTCCTTGTCCTAGTCTCCAGGAAGCAGAAAACAAGCTTGCTCCCTCCTCCCTGTGGCTTCCTCTCACATATTTATACATGGCTATCATATCCCCTCTCAGCCTTCTCTTCTTCAGGCTAAACATGCCCAGCTCCTTAAGCCGCTCCTCATAGGGCTTGTTCTCCAGACCTTTAATCATTTTAGTCGCTCTCCTCTGGACACATTCCAGCTTGTCAATATCTCTCTTGAATTGTGGTGCCCAGAATTGAACACAATATTCCAGGTGTGGTCTAACCAAAGCAGAATAGAGGGGTAGAGTCTCTGGCTGTTGCCAATGGCATGGACTCTGAGTTACTGATACATGTTGGAGTGATCAACTACAGAAGATATAGGACTCTTTTCCTCTCCCTAATGGGACGCACTAGCACGATTGCAATAGGTGAAAATGGTATCACATAAGTTCTGGTTTAAATTTTGACTCCTGATTTGCTTTTTTAAAAAAGGTTTGGATTTGGAGTGTCTTGAGGGATTGTGGGGCTTTGGGGGATTGTTTTTGACCACTCTGAGAGGAAAGTTGATAGATCATGAGCATTCTTTTGAATATTTTGGTCTTGGGGCATTAGGGGGCTTCGGGGAGAGGGGGGTCACACTTTGGAGAGACAATGCAGATTTTATTACACACTGCCCTATTCCGAATTAGATATTAAGTGAAAATACGGACTCACACTTTCCTTTATTTCATTTCATTTTGATACTACTTTTCTCATGGCAGTGGCCCAAGGTGGCTTATAAATGTCATAAGGAAAATTAAACCTGAAAATGAAAACTTTAATAAATAATCAGATTTGTTCTTGTGTGCCTTTAAGTTGTTGTTATTTATTTATCGTGTCATCAGCAACCATACCATTGTATTACATTTCTAACAGAACAAAACAAACAAACAGATAAAAAAACACAAATTTTGCAAACTTGGTAGTTGATTAAATATCCTTTGACCAGTATCTGGCCACTTGGATTGCCTCTGGTGTTACTATAAGAAGGTCCTCCATTGTGCATGTACCAGGGCTCAGATTGCATTGCAGCAGGTGGTCTGTGGTTTACTCTTCTCCGCACTCGCATGTCGTGGATTCAACTTTGTAGCCCTATTTCTTAAGATTGGCTCTGCATCTCGTAGTGCCAGAGCGCAGTCTGTTCAGCGCCTTCCAAGTCGCCCAGTCTTCTGTGTGCCCGGGAGGGAGTCTCTCATCTGGTATCACCCACGGATTGAGGTGCTGGGTTTGAGCCTGCCACTTTTGGACTCTCGCTTGCTGAAGTGTTCCAGCGAGTGTCTCTGTAGATCTAAGAAAACTATGTCTTTATTTAAGTCATTGATGTGCTGCCTGATACCCAAACAAGGGATGAGCTGGAGATGTCACTGCCTTGGTCCTTTCACTATTGGCTGCTACTTCCTGGTGGATGTCAGGTGGTGCAATACCGGCTAAGCAGTGTAATTTCTCCAGTGGTGTAGGACGCAGACACCCCGTGATAATGTGGCATGTCTCATTAAGAGCCACATCCACTGTTTTAGTGTGGTGAGATGTGTTCCACACTGGACATGCGTACTCAGCAGCAGAGTAGCATAGTGCAAGGGCAGAAGTTGTTGTTGACTTATGGCGATTGTAAGGGAAACCCCTCATGTAGTTTTCTTGGCAAGATTGGTTCAGTGGCAACTTTTGACTGCCTGAATTGGAGAGATTGTTACTTTATTATTATTATTTACCTTACTTATATACCGCTGTTCTCAGCCCGAAGGCGACTCACAGTGGTTCACAACAAATACGAACAGCAAAAGTTCAGTGCTACAGTATAAAAACAGTTAACAACCTAACACATTACACAATTAATAAACAGTTACTACAATACCCATTCACTGTCGTCTCGTCATCAAAAACATGTTCCAGATTCGTCATCCATTGTTCCATTCCGGTGTTCATTAACCAATCATTGCACTAATTATTCGAACGCCTGCTCAAACAGCCAGGTCTTCACTTTTTTGCGGAATACCATTAGAGATGGTGCTAGTCTAATGTCCGTAGGAAGGGCGTTCCACAGCCGAGGAGCCACCACCGAGAAGGCCCTATCTCTCAGGTACATTATTGTACCTTAATAATGTTGAACACAAACCTCACAAAAAGCTCTTTGTAAAATTATTTATTAAAAGTCTGTCTGTATAAAATATATTCATCAAACAACAAAAGGCAAGCAGGGAGGGATCCAGCCCATCCTTTATTATGTGAAATCATGAGGTTTGGAAGCCCAGCACATCCCAGCTGTTCCAGAAGGCCAAATCAGAACACAGATGGAAAGAAGGCAAAACAGATTTCTTTATTCTCAATGGCCAGAGAGAATGTCAGCACAGTAAGCACTCAAAGTACTGACATACTCCAACATGTGAGTCTATTTATAGTACATTTGACAGAAAGAAGAAGCAGTACAGAACAATTGAAAATTGCCGTACTTGTATCCCATTGGTCCTGGAGAGTGCCAGTTCAGATTGGAGGAGGCATGAGTTTGCTTCTGTCTCTCAGTCAACCAGAAGTGGGGTGAGAAATTTAATAAATCATCATTGCTCAGTTTGAAGTTTTCTGGCTGTTGCTGGTTCCGCCTCTCATGGGGTGAGTGAAGGAGGAGGACAAAATAAGATGTTGAGCAATTTCTTAACCTCCAGTTTGGCTCCAATGTTAGGTGTGTGGAGGCATTATTAGGAGATTATGGTGATTTTTTTCTGGGTGAGGGTGAGTTCATATTCTGGGGAATTTCCAAGGAATAGAAATGGCCACGTGTCTGGCTCTATTTTTCAATGGAGCCACAGCTTAAAATTCATATATTTTATATAATTCTTTTTTTGGGAGGCAGAGTTCTGATTTCTTGATAATAGTCTCATAGGAGGGAATTTCAAAGGTTGGAAGAAGTCACTAAGAAAAGCTTTTTTCAATGTCTTTGCTAAATGGACCTGTAATGGTGGCATTGTTAGGTAGGACTAAAATATCAGCTCTATTATATTCCTCAAATGCAGCATTTCTCAACCTGGGTGTTGGGACCCTTGGAGGGGTCATGAGGGAGTGTCAGAGGGGTCGCCAAAGACCACCAGAAAACACAGTATTTTCTGTTGGTCATGGAGGTTCTGTGTGAGAAGATTGGGCCAATTCTGTCGTTGGTAGGGTACAGAATGCTCTTTGATTGTAGGTGAACTATAAATCCCAGCAACCATAACTCCCAAATGTCAAGGTCTATTTTCCCCAAAATCTATTAGTGTTTACATTTGGGCATACTGAGAATTCATGCCAAGTTTGGTCCAGATCAGGGGCGGCTCAACCCATTACGCAAAGTAAGCATTCGCAGTATAGTTGATATTACCCAGGGGTGCTCTTGAGGCGCTCTTGGGGGAAAATAGACCTTGACATACGCGAGTTGTAGTTACTGGGATGTATAGTTCACCTAAAATCAAAGAGCATTCTGAACTCCACCAATGATGGAATTGAACCAAATATGGCACACAGAACTCCCATGATGAACAGAAAATATATATCAATGATTGGTTGGGGTGTGTGTGTGTGTGTGCCAAAATACTGTTTGCTTACCGTTGAAAATTACCTAGGGCCGCCTCTGGTCCAGATCCATCATTGTTTGAGTCTACAGTTCTCTCTGGATGTAGGTAAACTACAACTCCCAAAACTCAATGCCAGTGCCCACCAAACCCTTCCAGTATTTTCTGTTGGTCATGGGAATTCTGTGTGCCAAGTTTGATTCAGTTCCATCGTTGTTGGAGTTCAGAATGCTCTGATTGTAGGTGAACTATAAATCCAAGCAACTACAACTCCCACAGGACAAAATCAATACCCTCCCCCAATCTGTTACTATTCATAACAGCAGCAAAATGAGTTATAAAGTAGCAATGAAAGTAATTTTATGGTTGGGGGTCACCATAACATGAGGAAGCATATTAAGGGGTCGTGGCATTAGGAAGGTTGGGAACCACTGCCCAAGTGAAACATGGAGCTGGAACAAGTCTTGAAACTGAGTAAGAATGCAAACAAGCAGACAACAAACAATAACTTTGGCCAGCCTGCTCACAGAACTGGTTCAGATAGAGAAAGTTTAACACTAGCATTGGTATTTTAGAGAACTTCAGAGTTACACAGAAAATAACAAAGTGCACATGAGCAATATCTAATCCAAATGTTGCAATATTTATCAGGAGAATATGTGACTAGTAAAAAAATGTGGTCAGTGCTTGTTGGTTGATGAAGATTATTTCTCAGGGTTT